AAAAAGAAAGAAAAAGAAAATACCGACAAGTGTTGTCACCAAAGGCACCAGCTATTCGTCGTTAGCTTCGAATGTCGGTAGTAACTTTAGTACTGAGTTTTGACTGGACAAAAGACTGGAAGAAATTGAGGCACTTACGGCATGTAATCTTATCACATGACACGTCAAAACTCAAAAGTACTCTTCTTTTTGAACGTTGAGGTGGGGCTCCAACCCCGCACCGACACGTCAAAAGTACTCGATGATTCTTCGTACAAGGGTTTTTTCAGATACATGGTGTGGAATGCTGCAAGAGAGGCCTCACAGAATCAATTATCGGATGTTCCAAAAGGCTAGAAGGGACCTCACACTCACAAAATCAAATAAAGAATCAGAGACTATGGAATATGTGGCATTCACAACTGACGTAAGTGGTACAGTCAGAATCGGTTGTTTTGAACCTGCCCTATTTGGCCCCAAAGGGACGTGGCTCAACTAGTTATAATTTTGAGAGATTTTAAATTAAAAATTTTATATTTAAATTTTAAATTAAGTAAGGAGAATTTTTTTTTTAAAAAAAAGCTATTTTCTCTTGTATCTTATAATATATATATATATGTAAAAAAAACTGCCTTATTTCATACTCTTCCCTATAAAAAAAAATTGATTGAGGGGAAGTTTTTCTTGTCCCATGGTTTTTGTCCTATAAATTTTTATTAGAAAATGTGGACTTATTGTTAAAAAAAACATTTTATGTAGAAAAAATAACAAAGAAATATATAAATTAAACATAAGAAAATTATTTTATTTATTGTCAATTAATTTTAAGTTGAATATCAATTTTATGTTGAAATTTACAAGTTTAATTTTCACACAGAATTAAAACTTGAGTTTTAGTTTTCAGAAACCTTGAGATCTTGTGATGGTATGGGATTGCATGAGGGGAGGGCATATAAGCTCATTTGTTAGCCAAAGATCCATGTGATAAATCAGACCTGCACATGAAGAAGACCTTTTAAGTTCCTAAGTTGCACATGAAGAGGTTATGTTAAGTGAAAAAAATTTCACTTTGAAAAAGCAACAAAGAAGCATGTGATCAATTAAATATAAGAAAATTTACTCTATTTATTGTCAATTATTTTAACTTGAGTCCAAGCCTTATGTTGAAATTCATATACTCAATTTTTGCACTTATTTCTTGCATAAGGAAACAAAAAAAGAAGGTAGTCTAATCCTTGATCAGGAATAGCTTTGTTAATATTTCAATGACAATATAATATTTATGAAACAATCTAGATTGAAGTCAACTGTAGTTTTGACTGATGACTACAAGCCAAAAAAACTAAAGTTTTACTTGTTAGTAATAGTTAGTCGCGACTAATAGCGAGCCTAGAGGGGCAATGGGTCCCAATCCCCCCTAAACATTTGAGAGAAAGCAGTTTTAATCCCTTAAATTTTATTTCATTCATTTTCATCCATGTATTTTTTAAATTTCATCCCATTTTAGTCTCTCTTTTTTTTTTTTTGTTCTATTTTTTTATTCTTGAAGATTATTTTTGGTGATGAAGAGAAAGAGGAAAATCAAGATTTATGAAATATAGGAAAAAATGGAGATTAATTGAATGAAAAGCTGGTTATTATCATTTTTTGTTCATTAACCTTTTAATGTCCTTGTCTTATTTATTAATATTCTTTTGCTAAATAAATGTTCATTTTGTCATTCAATTAATAGTGTCAACATTGTCAATCACTTTTAATTTATCGTTAAAAATTAAAAAATATTATTTAAAATAATTTTCATTTAAAAATTTTTCTCCACATCAACTTTTAATAGAGGCAAAAGTGCATCATTTCTTATGGAAGCTTCATTCCCTCAAAAAATTTTTTCTAGCTCCACCCCTAGTCTTAACACTTATATACCACTCAAAATTATCACTTTTGGCAGCTAATTAAAATAGCTAGGTTGTTGCAAATCCCCTCACTTAAACTCATAGGGCTTGTTAGGTATAGCAGGGCAGTAATTAGTGATTTTGTTCAAACCACTATAAATATGCATTTAAAAATTTTGTTTAGTTTTAAATTGCACAGAGTGGGTGTTTGGTAAAATTTTTTTATTTAGTAGCTTGGGGCTAACAGATAGCAATGAAAGTGCAAACTGTTAGTAGATAAAAAAAGTTACATCATTGCTAGCATATTGGAATTTTTTTATTTTATTGATAAATTTATTCATTTTAATTTTTCAAAATTTTGTCACTATTTATAATTATTAATTATCTAATTAGTTTTAACATTTTTAATAACATTAAGTAATTATTATATTTTTATTTTTTACCTTAACTCATTATCAAAAAAATTTATAGTAGTTTAATAAACAAAATTTACTAATTAAACAAAATAATTACAAGTTTGTTTTGTCTTTATTTAAAAATAATATAAATTTTTCTTTGTTAAAAATATAAATGAGTTCACATATATATTATTTTATTTATTTTCTTATTATCATTTTTAGAAAATTAATAATTTTAATAATGAAAAATATATAAAAAGATACACCTAACTACTTTCAACATATCCTTATTAATCATTTAACGTCAAATGTCACCCACTAACCATTTTATAACAAAACAATTCTATATTATTATTTACTATTTACTATTTACTATGTATTTTCTATTATCCATTAATCCCCACCACCTACCCACCACCACTCTCTGTTGGATTTTAACAATTATACCAAACAAATGTCCTTCCCAATCCAATTGATGTCCATCCCTATTGTTTTATTTTTTATCACCAAAACGATCGATGTCCATCTCATCATGCCCTCACTAAACTAAGGGTAAATCCTTAGACAACACGCATTAATGTTTCAGCGTGACCTCACTTCAACGAAGGGTAATCCTTGGACAATATACACAAAATTATTGATAGGAGAGTACGAGGAACTCTTGCAAAAACAGAGGTCAGGATTCTTTGTGTAATGACAGCCAAGTTTTTGAGATAGACCTGTCGTTTTGTTTCCAACTGAAACAGAGGAAAAAGACTACTGGTGAGAAAGACAACGTGTACAAACTTACATGGGATGCTCTGGACCGACTACTGAATAAATTGTCCAATCAGAACATTGGCTTATGGACAGGTCCACTTCATGCTGTACAGTTTGAGGGATCATCCTTTATATGTATATATATACATAATAATTCTTTAAAAAAATAAAATAAAATTCACTCAATAATATATCTTTGAAAAAGATATTCTATATATTGAAGGAACAAAAGATAAAAGACGGATATTTACCTGTATACCACACAAGCCCCATGTATAAATAAGTCTCACTTGTATGTTATCAAGCTAGGCCATAAGTAGAGAACTGTTATAGCAGCAATCCAACATCGATATCGATCAATCCATCATGCCTAGAGAGAGATTGGATCCTCTTGTTGTTGGGAGAGTTGTGGGGGATGTTTTGGATCCCTTTACAAAGTCTATCTCTCTCAGGGTGTCCTACAATAATAGGGAGGTCAGCAATGGCTGTGAGTTCAAACCTTCCCAAATTGTCAACCAGCCTAGGGTTGATATTGGTGGGGATGATCTCAGGAACTTCTACACTTTGGTATGTTAATTTCTCTCCTTCTCATCTTTTTCTTTTAGGGCTTTTCGTTATGTGCATTTAGAGTCATTCACATTTCATGCAGGTTATGGTTGATCCTGATTCTCCTAGCCCAAGCGATCCCAACCTCCGGGAGTATTTGCATTGGTGAGAAGCTTTTTCTCTGTGGATTTTTGGTTACCTTATTTTCTTTTGTTTAAATGAGCTGTGTGTTTGATTGAGGTAATATATAAAATGGGAATGTTTTGATTTTTTTTTATGGTACTTAATTTACTTTAAAAATATATAATTTCAACAAAACAGCCACAAGCTTACATGATCAAATAAAAGTACTCTAAGTAAATTTGACAAGTGCATGAAGTACTATTGTTTTTTTGCATGAGTTTTTCATTTTGTACTTTAATTCAGTTTGGCTTTATTTGATTGGTCCATCTCCTCTCTTCTTTCTAAATAGATTCTCTGTGTTTTTCTGGGTACTGACTGCTCAATTTCCTCAATCCAACTTTTAGGTTGGTCACTGATATTCCAGCAACCACAGGGGCAACGTTTGGTGAGTAAATATCATAAATCATCTCGCCCCCCACCCCCAAACTTCCCACCCTTTTTTTTTTCTTTTGTAACTTTGCTTGCGAATAAAACCATTAACGATTCATGACCATGGGTGGGTTCATTAGACAGAACCCCGGTTTCATTCCACTTCCTTGTGTGTTTCTATATTTAATCTACACAATAACATGGTTACCTGAGCTGTATACTTTTTAAAATAATGAATTATGATCATGTAACTTAATATTTATATTGATTTTATAATTTTTTTTCTCGAACATGTTTTCTTGTTGGTTTCAGTGTCATGTCTTTGTCTACCTTTGAAACATGATGGAATAAAATAGTGCAATTCTTGTCTTGGACAAGATCAGGGATCGATTTGCTTCTCCTTGAGGCCGACCACCAAAACCCTTTTCAAAATCATCTTAAAAATTTCTTATATGTTTTACACCTTTTATCTTAGGTCCATTGATTCTTTGATATTAAATTTAGATGCCAAATGCGATACTACTTTCCCAGAATTGATGATAGAAGTAATTTAGTAAATTTAGGACCTGCACTTTGAACCGTAGCATCAGTTTTTCTATTTTTAACAATAATGAGAAATTTGGGATGAAAAAATTGCAAAGAAAAATTGAGAGGGTTCTATTCCTTTTATTTCAAAATACTAGTGGTTTATTTTTTTTACACATTTTTTTAGATAAAGTGTTTTTATAATAAATGAAGGATTATTAAAATTTTTTTGATTGAATGAAATTACTCAATAAAAATTATGTATACATTTTTTTTAATTATTATTCATATGTTATAAAAAAAATTAATTAAAATTACATAAAAAAAAGTTAAACAATTTATATTTTAAAATAAATGGAGTATTATTTTAGGTGGAGTTCTGAATACTATTCAACATTGGACCTTTTCACGTCTAGTCAGGTCAATATTTACGTGCAAATTATGAATTTTTGTATGGAACTTAACAAGATTTTAATGATGACCTTAGAATGTGAAAGATGAAACATATGCAAAGGTGCCCAACAAAACAAAAGTTTCAAAAGCAAATATTCTTGTTTCATGTATGTCTTATATTGTTGCTAATGTTGTCTCTCAATGCTGTGCAGGACAAGAGGTTGTGTGCTATGAAAGTCCCCGACCATCGGTGGGGATTCATCGTTTTGTGTTCGTCTTGTTTCGGCAGCTGGGGAGGCAGACAGTTTATGCGCCCGGGTGGCGTCAGAACTTCAACACCAGGGACTTTGCTGAGCTTTACAATCTCGGGTCACCGGTGGCAGCTGTTTTCTTCAATTGCCAGAGGGAGAGCGGCTCTGGTGGACGGAGAAGGACTGACTGAAAATGAAGACTTAATACAGAGATTGAAATGGCTGCATTGAATTATATATAGTTGAAGATTAATAGATGCAGGAAGGATAACAAAGTATATGAAAGACTTGGTAAACATATATAACATATATTATATGTCTTCCTACGTAAAAGGAATAGAAATAAAGTATGAAGAGCCAGCAAGACAAAATATGATCTACTGATTATCTAAGAATATATGACTCATCTGAATTGGAACTTGGAAGGGATATGTAATATAATATTAGTAAAATTAATAAAATGTAGCCAACCAATTTTTTTCTTTTATTTTGGTTGCTAATTTATCCTGCCTTTATTCACTCCTCTTACTTATTATATTCTCTTTTATCTTAAAATAATTTTCACTTTTTAATTATTTTTTTAAATTAAAAATTTAGTTATAATTTATGTATTTAATTATATTTTCCTTAAAGAAGAGATAAAAAGATAAAAAAATTTATAATAAGATGATTAATTAATTAAATTGATAATGATAGGGTTAAAGGAAAAATTATTAATTTATTTTAAAAAATAAAAAATAATAATTAATTTAAAATGAATTTAAAATAAAAATAATAATTATTTTAAAATTAAAAATATAATTCTTTTTATATTTATGATCAAAATATCTATAAATGATTTTTTACACATTTTAAAACTAATTTTTTTCTAACGATTTGCACCCTGATAGTGCTTGAATCCTAAACCTACTCTCCAAGATTACACTTAATTATCCATCTCTTGAGGTTAAACGAGGAGTACGGTTGAAACTTATAAACTCTTACTACCTTTAATTAATGTCCAAAACTATACTTGGCAATCGAGCTGGGCCCAGGACTGCTCGGGACCTACCCATGTGGAACCATGGCGGGTCGATTCCAAACAGAAGTCATGGAGACCCGGATAAAAAGAATAAAATAAAATAAGATTTTGAATTTTATATTTTCTAGATTTTGGTTTAGTGTTATGCACAATAATATAATTACAATATCATGTATAATTATAAATTTATAATTATAATATATTAGTAAATAAATAAATCTTTATAATATCATAAGAATTAAATTTTAAATAAAAAATCAATCATATAATAACATATCTTAATTATAAATTTAAAATATTACATAACAGTATACCTATATTGTTTTGGTAGAGCTCTCAATAGTGAAGCCATATCTAGACGAGCGCAGCCATGACCCCTTTGTCTTTTGAAAATTTCTTAATTAGCACCTTACATTTTTAATTTAAAAATATAAATAGCAACCTAAAATTTTAAACTTAAAATAATAATGTATTAATTATTTGAGAAATTATATATTTTCCTTATATCTATTTGTTTTTTTAATTTCATTTAATTAACATCGTTGTCATTATACTAATTAATTATAGAAGATTTGTGCCATTTGGGTTGCTTCATCCTCAGCTAAGGGTACTCAATAAAAGTTACTAGACTTTGGTATAATAGTTCCTTTTTTTGGAACAAAGGCAGTGATTAATTTCACTAGAAATAATCAACAGCATGAGTCCAGCAAACTCTTTTATTCATATTTTCACCCTACAAATGATTAGAATTTGATATATTAATTTCTTAAAATATGTTACTAATAAAAATTTGATTAAATTGGTACCTATTAATTTAAAAATCTTAATTTAAGGTTAAGATTAATTAATTATTTAAACTTTTGTAATACTAAACAATTAACCTCTGATCTACTAAAAAAATATTTTAATTTTATTGGTTGATATATATTAATATTTTATAATAACAATTTTGTTTGAAATCTCTTATCATTTCTAAGTTAAATATGTAATTTAATTGTCTGATTTTCCTTCTTTTTTTTTTTTTTTTTTATAATAAATTTAATTAGAGCAAATGGATT